AGATTTGGAGAAATTCCTCTGCAGTGAATGGGTGCCGTCAGAATGAGAGTTCAAACAGCTGATTAAAACATCACAATAATCCACAAGTGATCCACACCACTCCAGTCCATCAGTTAAGTCTTGTGAAGTGAAAAGCTGTGTGTTTGTAAGAAACAAATCCATTATTAAGCCGTTCTAACTTTAAAACATCGCTTCTGGCCAAAAAAACAAAACAAAAAAAACAAGTCAGTAATCCATATTAACACTTCCTCCAGTGAAGAAGTCCATTTATTGTTGTCTTCTCACACAGGGTTTCTGCAGACTTGAACAAGTTAAATTTAAGACTTTTTAAGACCTTTTTAATACCACCTTATTTGAAATTTAAGACCTAAACCTGTAATGGAAATACACATTTTATTGCATACATATATGTAATATTTAATGTGTATAAATTAAAAAGAAAACAAAATGTCAATGCTGTAATAAATGGTATTTATTACTATGATATACAATTAACTTTTCATGTCAGCAGACAATATTCCATACAAAATATCCCCACAAAATAACTGCATCACTGAGATTTTTGGCTTAAATCTGCATATTTACCTTTACAAAGGCCTATTTTTAACCTTTTTAGATGTATGCATCATCTTACATGTCAAATTATTACAATTTATCAATAAATTCAACATACACTATAGGGCTGCTACCAGTCAGATTAAATAATTTACACTGCAAATAACAATAATTACAATTGCAATAAATAATGTTATGAGCTTAATGTTTTAAATGCATTTATGAGTATACAAATAAGAAATGTTTAGGGGAAAAATGCATACTTTTCAACATACTTCTCAACTAAACTACCAGTAAGTCACTGAATGAGTGAGTCATTGAGTCATTCATTCAACTGATTGAGTGTGCTATCATGCTGGTATCTTCAGGACTTTCGTGGACAGCTCAATCCTAAAGTTTTTGATATTCTTCATATTCTGTGTGGTGGTCAGATAAGTTTAAATAGATTTTTACCTTTTATGGGCATTTTACCTTTATAAAGCCATTTTTCTATAAGTG